TGACAAGGGCGTGGGTGCTAATAATGTTATAATTTAGGTTTACCCGGAAACCCTGGTCCCAGAGGTGCACAGGGCAAAGAAGGCGAAAGTGGTGAACAGGGAGCTGTTGGAGCAGCGGGTAAGCCCGGAGCGACTGGAAAGCCTGGTAAGCGAGGTAAGACTGGACGACGCGGGAAGAAGGGTAGACGAGGTGGGTCTTACTTTCCTGATTTTGATCCTTATGGCTAAAGCTCTTATTTAGCTTTTGATCCTCACTATTGTGAGTGCCCTACGAGAACAAAAGGACATTTGGGCAAGTTCATAATTGGCGCGAAATCAAATGGAACAGAAGTTGATCAATATCCAAAGGGTCTTGAATTTCATTGATTTATGTCAATACATTCTGCAAATTCTGGAAGTTATTTGATTGTGGGATATATGTTTGGGACGCCTCCTCTTCCGTCGCAAATGAGTTTTTCATTGATTAATTAAAGGGCAGAAAGAAAGAAGGTAAAGGATTTGTCATTTCATGGATTCCATTAGATGCTATCATCACTTAGATTAAGGGAAAAATGTTTATGGACTTGAATAAAATTGCTAGAATTCTTGTTGAAATATTACCGCTAAAAATTATAAGCATGGCACGTGTCTAACTAATAAAATCAGTAGCATTTACCAGAGGATTTGTTTCATTAAGCATAGGTAAGCCATCTAACGACTGAATGAGCAATTGGTAGCTCTCAATCATCCAGAGACAGTAGATTTCTCATCAATTTAGCAGTGAAAGGCATTCACAGAGTTTGATTCCGAGATATGTCTATGGGAAGTTGAGCTGATAATATGAGCTGACAGTTTTCGCTTATTGCTATGAGATTTGGCAGAACATTAAGTTATGTCCCTTCACTTCAATACTCGGTGCGAGTTTTTCCCGTGAAAAGGAAGAGATATACGCTAAAGTTTTCAGTGCATTTCACGTTACACAACTTTATTGTCAATAAATCTGTTGAATATAAATATGTTTTTGAAGAGATCAGAATCATTGAGATGCTTAGCGGAGGTAAAGAAACACCAGTCAGATTTTATGAATTCGCGGAATGAGAAGTGGAAGCGTTGTCACGTGAAAGCCTTAAGAAGTAGCGTTTATATTGTAAACGACTCTATAGAATGCGAAGGATTTAACCTGAAAGCAACTCAGGCAGCATTCGCCGGCAGTATCGGTCATATCCATATGTGCATCCCCCAAAACTGTATCTGCTTCTTCAGTAGCACTTTTCATCAAAACACTATACCGTCTCCTTCTACACCATGACGCAACGACCTTTAATCGATTAACTAAGATTGCTATGATGATGTGGTACATGTACTCTATGTTATTCACCTGTACTAGCATTACCGTCCCTATGGCGCTCAGGACTCTTCCACCAAAATTCAACAGTCCAATCAGGTACTTTGATGGAGCTTGTGATAAGGCTAAATATAGCGGTTAAACAAAGCTGCATTGCACAAATCAGAAAAACAGAGACTGAATTTACTTTGCACTTTTTATAAACACATAACAATGTAGCAAAATAGATTTTTAGAGCCAACTGCTAGGTACCTTTCTTCAACTTGAATCTCAACGTATGCTCATTCTCAACAGCAGTTTTCACTACTTCGGCGTTGAGTTGTGCCGACCATACACTAGCCAAGTAGGCTAGAACATTGCATACTGTGCCAAATATGAGGAACATCACGATGCCAGCACATTGATTTCCTGAAAAAAACCTCATCCCATAACTTTTACACCAACAACTTAAGCTAAATGGCCTATAAGTGTATATCTGGGTAATCCTTTTACCTCATTTTCGACAGTAGAATATTATACTATACGAGTCCCAACAAACAATTATTCAACAAACCGATAATACTCGATTATCCAATGGCTATAAGATTGATATTTTTATTTTCAGTGTAATATAATTGACAGAGATAAAAGTTTTTACTAAAGGGTCGAACACTACCTTTTTGCCGAATTGTCCTACTTTTACTTCCTACTGAAAACATGGACAAGCTTTACTTTCACCTGGTAAAGAAAGTGCGAAGCGATAAGATAACGCAAAAAGGCAAATAAATAATTGTATGCTTGCCTTATCTGGGTCATGCATCGCCTACTTTTTGATTCAATATTAAGTTGTTATTTACACTTTTTATGAATATCCATGTAGTGGAGTTTTACAGAAGAAAAGGTGATTGTGATAAGAACGATGTTGAGAATAGCAATAACATTAATGCGCCATAGTGAATTAGCTACAGGCACAAGATTTATTTGATTATGGTAGGCAGGAAACACCTTCATAATAAATTAACCTGATTGGTTTTGCCAAAAAATTGGTTGTGGAGATAAAATATTTGATGATGCTATATGTTTAGAAGAGAATTGTTGAGAAAAAGACATTTACTATTTCTGACTCAAATTTTTGGATGTTAAACACTACAGAACAGTGTATGTCTTATTGCTTCCGTAACATAAGAAAAGAGCATTGTGTTTAAGCAGTTCATCAAAGTATGTTAGAAGCTTATTATTAGTGATATCCGATTAGATCACTGCTTGCATTCAAAAATCTCCTTAGTTACAAACAAGATGGGTCAATCTGAGTCTGTGCAAAGAATGCTTGGGTAACCTTCCGTATCCCTAACAAAGTAATTCCCTTCCAATCGAATCATGTTTATCCATTGACATTCACAAAATATCTTTCAATAAGACAATTCGAATGCTCTACACACTTTTCCTTCCCTGCAGAAAGTACCATATGTTATAAATAGGAAATGCCTTAAGTAAGGTAGCACTGTTAGATGTAATGTAATTGGTCTGTCGTTTTCAAATGAGAGCAAAATAAATGATAACACGACAGTAGACGATCACCTAACAGTGCTACCTTACTAATCACAACT